ATAGCGAGAAAGGACGACAGATCGTACATGAGACCTTGCTGAACTCTGTGAAGCCATTCAATCCTCGCAGGTGGTTGTTCAGCTCACGCGCCACATTGAGGACCCGACGTCCTTCTCCTGCTCCTCCCGCCCTCCTCCTCTTTATCCAGCCCCTCCTATCACTTACTCCGTGCCCTCATTGAGGAGGTGGCGGAGGAGGAGAAGGCGAAAGAGGAGGGATGATGATGATGATGAGGAGGAGGAGGAGAAGGATGAGGAGTAGGCGTGAGGATAAAGCGCAGGGGGGAAGGAGGAAGAGCGGAGAGGAGGAGGCACAGGGAAACGGAGGAAAGGGGGGAGACCGAAAGGCTGGAGCAGGAGTAGAAGCCAGAGGGAGGAGGAGTAGGAGGAGGAGGAGGAGGAGCATGAGCAGGAGCAGGAGAAGGAAGAGAAGGATCAGGCGGAGGCGGAGGAGGGGAGCAGGGGGAGCGGTCGAATCTCGGCGTCTTCGTGCGCATGGTGTGCGGAGAGAACCTGCCTTGCAGGAGCACGCTGTGCTCGCCCGACATACCCAGGGTATGTGGCCCCCGTTCGCCACATGTTGTGCAATCTGCGTGGCGCAGACATGGTGCGCGACCCATGTGGTGCAGCCTAGGTGGTACATTGCTGTGTCTTAACTGATGAGTTGACAACTCCACTGCTCGTGCAATCATCCCCCCCCCCCCACCCGCAACTTGATGTACCCAACCCATGCGGCCTCGAGAAGCTTGTTGGCAATAGTTTGCACATCTCTGTGGCTGCGCTAGCTCGAACAAGTTCTCATGCTGATCGGCCAGCAGCTAGTTTGGCACAACCAGCGCCGCCGCGAGGGCGCTTAACGGTGAGAAGTCCCTAGGCTGCGCTGGCGCGCGGAAACTTCAGTGCGGGTCTGTGATTCGGGCGGGTTTGGTACCATGATGGCGTCGAGAACGGCGGCAACGATAATAGTAAGGATTGTGGTGGCGATGATGACGATGACGATGACCAGGCCAATGACGGCGCCGATGTAAGTGACGACGGTGACGATGACGATGCCCATGGGTCGATCATGAAAGTGAGTGGCCGATGATGGCGGCAATGGCGGCGATTGACGACGACGATTGCGATGGTGATGCAGAGGCGTTGACGAGGGTGACGGCGATGAAGTGCCCGCGCGCAGAAATTCAAGATACCAGGCAGCTTTGTTGTTCAAAAATATGTATTGGTTGCGTCTGTATTATGTTGAAGCGCTCTATTTTGACATGCGTCGTAAACCAATGGTCTCGGAAGGATTCGACACGCGAGGATTGCGGCGCGGGCGTTTGGCCCGCATGGTACGGTGATACGGATTCGTGCATCGGGCGCATATTGGATTGACGCGGATGGGCCGCGTGGTGCGATTAGAATTCGGCGTCTGTGCGGGATTGATAAAACCATGCGGCTTTTCGTGTGTTCAGCAGATGCGCGCGACCAGAACTTCAGCAATATGTTCGATGAAAAACGGCTGATGCTTTAGGACTGTGCGTTGATGCGTTTGCAAACGGAATTCGTTTGACATAGTTTCGGCATCTGCGTGCGCGTGTTAACCTTTTGCCATTTGTGGCAACGCGTTCTTGCAAGGTGCACTTTTGAACGGGTGTGCGCGCATAGTCTTAGTTGACAGGGACGGCGGGGGGACAATGCCGGTTGTGCGGGGATTGTATACATCACATGGAACACGATTGGGCAGAATCAGATACGAATCGTAGTATTCCTGGGCGTATCGGTAATTTTAGATGGGGAGGGTAGTGGAGTTAGTCTTTCTCGTGATAGGAGACTCTACGTGCCGCAAATAAGAAGTTTAGAATGTGAGGTCGTCGATTCCAATGCGCGTGCAATCATCCAATTTTCCAGCCCGAAACTTGTTGGCAATGCTCTCCTGGACCTGACCTCGACGAGCGCACGGGCGCGAGGAGCTCAACCGCGTAGATTAGTCCGTCCTGCAGGTCAGCGGTGGCGGCGGTTTGTCACGATCGCGACGCCGACGACCATATGGATGACAGTGGTATTGATGCTGATGCCGATGTCGCTGGAGATGGGCACGATACAACGTCGACGACGGTGATGGTAATGGTGATGAAGCTTACGGTGATGATAACCACGGTGGTACCCATGACGCTGGTGATGATGACGATGGTGCCTGTGATCATGAGAAAGTGCCCGCGCTCAGAGCATTGACGAGGGCGACGACATCGACGATGACGGCGGCGGCGATGATCCCGACAATGGTGGTGATGATGATGATGATTAGGAGGAGGAGGAGGAGGAGGAGGAGGAGGAGGATTATGATGATGACCATGGCAATGATGTCGCTGGCGATGTTGACATCGGTTGTGTTGACGAGGATGATGAGCAAGTGCGCGCTGCCAGAAATCCAGACATCCTGACATGTCTTGTTATGGAAGACCATTTGACATTCGGATCTTTGGACACCTCTGCGCTGAAAGGGCTCGAAAGAACAATGGTTTTGATGAAAGGATTCGGATTTCGACGTGCGCGCAGGTTGCGAGCGACCTGCTATCTGTTGCCCCGAAGGTTGCGCACTGCACGGCCAGAATCAGAACGGCCTGATACTGGCCGCGCCATCGGTTGTGCTCCCCGCGGCCCGAGATGCAGCGGCCTCTTGCTGGTCGCGCCGCAGGTTGTGCACCCCGTGGCCGAGAATACAGCGACCTCCGTTAGGCTGCGCCACAGCTTGGGCCTTCGGCCCATCCCGCCACCGTGCCCGGTTCGTGGGTCACAGGCTTCAGGGATGTCCGTTGGGGTGTCGCGGGGGGCCTCTCTGATGGGCCTTTCTTCCACCGCCACCACCAGAAGTTGACGGGGGAAGGAGGTGGAGGAGGAAGAGGAGGAGGAAGAAGGGGAAGAAGAGGAGGAGGACGAGGACCCCCCCTCCCTCCTACTCATGGTGGTGGCGGTGGAAAACAAGCCCACCAATCTTGGGGGCCGTTTGGAGGCCTTTGGGGAGCCGTTTTGGGGCCTCTTGGGGCGTCGTGGGGGCCTCTTGGGCGTCTCCGCAGGCCTCTCGGGAACCTCTTGTCTAGGGGCCTCTTATCGCGGAAGGCTCGTGTTTCCCATTCGTGCTGCCCCTCGTGGGCCCCTCTCGGGGCTGCCTTTGGGCCGCTCTTGGGGCCGTCCAGGGCCCCTCTTGGGCGGCCTTAAGGCTCTCTCGGGAGCTTCTTGGGCCGCTGTGGGACGGTCTTGGGGGCCTCTAGAGTCTGTAGAGCTCTGGAGACGCCCTGGAGCGTCGGAAGCTGCTTCAAGAGAGAACTCCGCAGACTCGAAACACGCAAGAAGCACCACGGATGCTGGCCTTTCGAGGCTCTCGTGGGAAGGCTCTTGGAGGCCTCTTGGGACGTCTTGGGCGCGTGTTCGGCCGACCGGAGATCAGATCTGGGGTCTTGGCCCAGTCGTGCGGCGATTCGGGGGGGCTCCTGGACCAGTTTGGGGGCCTCTTGAGGCCCTCTTGGCCATCTGTGGGGCCCGCTTGATTCGGGGTCTGCGCCCCTTCGAGAGTCCTCGGGTTTGACGACTGCGGCTCCGGGGGGGTCCAACAAGAGACCGGAGGACACTCCCACTCGTGCCTCCAGGGAACGGTGGCAGACACAGAGCTGATGCGCCACAAGCTGCACCATCCCCCAACAGGACTGGTATCGCTTACTACTGTCTGCGGCATGCTCCGTCGTCAACCCGAGGTACAACTGGCCCAGACATAGAGTGACCTGCCGTCGTTTGCGCCGTGGGTCGCGCATTTCGCGCCTGATATCAAGCGTCTTGGATCGGTTTCGCCAGAGGTTGCGCGATCCGTGGCCGCAAGCAGCACGGGTTTCTGATGGTTGCGCCATTGGTTGCGCACATGGTTGCAACACGCATGACGGAAGAAACAAGAGCACTATAATTATATAATGCCGGAGGGCGTTGCGAGCGGAAATTGGTTTCATGTGTATACGTGCACATGTGTATATATACAGCCTTCAAACATTGGTGACGCCCGAGGCAAATGTTGAGCATCTCGCACCAACACTGTGACAAGGGAGGAGTGGCCGCCCGACAGAGGGGTGAACAAATAATTCCCCCCGCACGCCAGACAGTAGCCACCTCAAGCCACGGTGCCAGGGCATGTGACAAGGTCGCTGCGAACATGTAGATCCCTCTCCATCGGAAAACGGTGGACAGCTGGGATCTTGTTTAGAAGGGCCTGCAGACGCAGACGTACTAGAGTGGACGCCGACGTTTCTGCCCATCGTCGCACTGCAGAGAGCTTAAACCAGCCATCGCACAATGCTTCGCCTCTCTGGCCCCGATACGAACACACGCACACACACACAGTGAGATCGGAACGGTGGACCCATGTACCATCTTGCGGGCACAGGCCCCCGCCCGAAGGATTTACGTAGAAGTGAGCCCCAGGAGGAGGAGGAGGAGGAGGAGGAGAAGGTATGAAGGGGCAGAGGATGTGGAATGGGACTTGAAGTAGCAGGAGGAGGACGAGGAGTGAGGAGACGTAGGGCAGGCTCGCGTGATGTCGGCGCGGCGGTGACCCCGCTGCGAGCGGTCAAGGTTGAACGCGGCCAGTGGTCCAGAATCGGCCGTGATGGAACGATTTGGCAATCGAACAGCTCTCCGATCGTTCAACGTTAAACGATCCACGCGGCGTCGGAGATCAATACCGGGGTCATCAAGACACGATCTTGCCGTAGAAGGCGTGGACCATGGGGGGGGGATCACGCCCTTGGGAGGACCCTGACGACCTGCGCGCCACCGCGGTCGCTGCCGTAGCGCTGGGCTGCACGTGCTTCGGGCTGCTACAGCTGCTCTTCACGCAGCTGCGGCTGACGGCCTTCGTGCAGTGCTCGCCCAGCCTCCGCCGCCTCCTCTGGAAGGGGCAGGAGGAGGCGGAGGGAGAGGAGGAAGAGGAGGAGGAGGACGAGGAGGAGGAGGACGAGGAGGAGGAGAAGGAGGCGGAGGAGGAGGAGGAGGAGGAGGAGGAGGAGGCGGGTGAGGAGGAGGAGGAGGAGGAGGAGGAGGAGGAGGAGGAGGAGGAGGAGGAGGAGGAGGATTGGTTTCAGCCCACCTCTCCTCGTTCTCCTGCTCCTCCTGCCGCTGTGGGCTCTGCCCGGGAAGCTGAGTGGCGGCAGCAGCTGGACCTTCTCGTCTTCTTCCTCCTCCCCATGTCCCCCCCCTGCTCCCTGTTCCCTGCTCTCTGTTCCACACTCTCTCCCCCCTCATTCCTCATCTCTCCCCGCACTTCCCTCCCTCCTTCCACCCCTACGATCCCTCCGGCCACCAGGTACCTGCCTTATTCCATTCCGATGGGCTTCCTCTCCGGCATCGGCCTGGAGCTCTGCAGCGCTGTCGCCCTCGCGGGCGGCTACCCCTCCCAGGCCCGCGGGCGGGGGCACGGCCGGCCGAGTCAAACGCGCCCGGCCGGTGCCAGAGTGCGGTGTCGGCCATGGTGTTTGCGCTGCGGAGCCCCCAGGACCCTCCAGGAGGAGGAGGAGGAGGAGGAGAAGGAGGAGGAGGAGGAGGAGGAGGAGGAGGAGGAGGGGGAGGAGGAGGAGGAGGAGGCGAGGAGGGAGGAGGAGCAGGAGGAGGAGGCGGAGGAGAGGAGGAGGAGGGGGAGGAGGAGGAGGAGGA